GGCGGGCTCTTGCAGGGACCCCTGACTCACTGCAGACCCTTTCCTCCACAGCCTGCAGCCCCGCAGTCCCACCGGGCAGCAAGCTCCCTGCCTGCACCTGCACCATCTACCGGCCCTGGTTTTCGCCCTACAGCTACTTCATGTGCACCAAAGGAGCTGCCCAGCAGCACCTGGACAGCCTCTCCTCCAGCACCCGGGAGCCTGAGGAGCCCGATGACCTCTCAGAGATCGTCTGCTCCTCCTCGGGCTCGTCAGACAAGCCCCAGCCCCCCAAGAGGGACAGGCCAACCAGCAGCGGAGCCAGCATCACGGTCCACGGCGGCAGCCGGTGCCCCAGCGAGGCTACCAGCTCGTGTCGTGCTGCCGCATCTTCCCCACGCTGTGGTCGGTCACGACCCACATCCAGCACAGCTCCCGGGAGGGCTACAGCTGCAAGGTGTACTACCGCAGGCTCAAGGCCCTGTGGCAGAAGGAGCGCAAGGAGCAGGAGGCTGCAGCCCCCAGGGTGCCCGTGTAAGCCCCGCCAGCCAGGCAGCTGCCACGGGAGGGCACTGCTCCATCGCTCCCGCCAGCAGCAGAATAAATTGTTTTAGGAACAGCTGGCCCTGTCTGCCTGCTGCTCTTCCCTACGCAACACTTCCGCCATCCTTTAAGAGAAGCTCTTCCCGGCTTTTCCTTCCCCAGCAGCCAAAAATCTCCCGAGCCCCTGAAAGCGCTGCTTAGCATCTCTGCATCTCCGTGGGGCACTCTGCAGATGCCGGGAACCCCCCGGCACCCTTCAGTGGTCAGGTCAGCCCTGAGACAAGCCTGCGCTGTGCAGTGGCTGAAGGGGAAGGCTGAAACCCCTCTACCCCCAGCAACATTCAGGGCACCTCGCTCTCATGGGCAGCCCACGGCTGGCACCACAAGCAAGGGTCGCACAGTTGGGAGGATGCTTAGGTCGGAGGGGGTCTGTGCAAGGCCAAGGGATGGCTCCCAGCATGGAGGGGGAGAGAAGTACAGAGAGAGAGAGAGAGTCAGCGAGAAGGAAGAGACAACAGAAAGCCTTGAGAAATAGAAAGATTTATTTAGCAAAAGCCAGTCAACTAATGACAACACCCAAGGGTTAAGTGCACTTACATTGACAGATTGGTTTCCCAGATAGATTGAATCAACAGTTAGTAACACGACAGTTGTAGGAAAAGAAAGGACAAAAAATATAGCTATAAATCCCCAGTCAAGGTCCATAACAAAAGTGAGAGGCTAGAGAGGCGTCTTGGAGGCAGCGCTGAGTTAGATCATTTACACATGTACCCCCGCGGTGCGGCCCGACACTGGCAGGGTCCCCCCCAGCTCTGGCAGCACCCCCTCAGCCTGTGGGGCACCCGCCACCGTCCCCTGCGGGTAGAGTGCCGGGCAGGAGCCCAGGCCCGCAGCTGGTCCCGACAGCTCCTCGTGGGGCACCGGCTGGGCAGCAGGGATGGGCAGGAGCGATGGCCTTTTCTCAGCCCTGCCTGCTTTCTGAGGCAGCCCAGCCTGGAAGAGACCTCCCGCCTGCTGCTGCTCCTCCCAGGCTCTCCCTTCGTCTGCCCTGCACGTGTGGCTGAGCTCCTGTCGTCACCTCTCCTGCATGATCTGTCTGCCCACATGGAAATCCCTCTCCGAGCTCACCCACGCATCCCTACCCTGCCTGCGCCATGTCCTGTGCGTGCTGCCATCCCCACCGCTCCCTCCTGGCGGGACCAGCCTCCCACCCCATGCCTTCACCGCCAACTGCTGCGGGCTGCCAGTGGGATGTCGGGGTGCCCAGCAGAGGGGCTGGCACACAGCTGTGCCCACAGCGGTGCGGGGCAGGGCACACGGAAGTATTGGTGGCCAGAGGACAGGAGCACCTGGGTCCCAACCAGCACCCGCTCCCACTCGGCCCCCTCTGTGGCTGGACACCAGGCCACTGCTGGGGACACTGAAACATGGCCTTCCTTCCCCCTAGGACTCTCTAGCTCCTCACAGCATCCAGCCTTCTACCGTGGTGGAGGGTGCGTAGCACAGCTCGTACCGAGCCCGGGGGTCTCACCCACACCTCACTCCTCAGCAGCCCTTAGTCCCAAGGGGACCGCGGCAGAAAGAAGCGACGGACCTTCCTCAGCAGCCGGGCTAAGCCCTGGAGGAGAGCAAGAGCTCGTGCTTGGGAGAAGCTCAGCTAGGGGTTAGGTGCAGGCAGATCTAGCAGAGACAGAGCTGGTGAAGGCAAGAGCAGAGGGAAGCAACAAAGCAAAGCAGAAGCAGGATAGGAGGGTGGATGGGGAAGAAGACAACTGTGCAAATCCCCACCTCGTTGAGTGTTTCCACAAGGAGCAGGGGGGACATCAGGACTCTGGCTCACACCCCTTCAGCCATGTCCACTTAGAGGCTGCAGCAACAGGCAGCTGATAAACATGCTTGCAGAAAAGAGACAAGCTCTGGATCCCTTGGAGGCTCCCACAGATGCCTCAGCCATGGGCATCTCAGGGCCTGGTGGGGGATCCTGAGATCTTGGATTCACTTTTTGGAGGGTGCAAACCAGAGACATGAAGCAGGCCACCTGCAGACACCAGCAGTTCGCTCCCCATCGAGGGGCGGCAAGCGTGCGCATCCCTGCACACGGCCGATGCCAGCACTGCATCCCCCAGCCCTGGTCCGGGGGCAAGCGACTGCTTGGAAATGGGAGGGTTTGTCTATAAAGCAAAGCAGGAAATTTGTGGTGATGGTGCAGGGAAGTGCTTGAAAACCTGACTTGAGAGCACCAGAAAGGCTTTGAAACCTGGCAGCCATGCCAAGGAGCCCAAGGACCGGGCAACGCGAGAAGAACACCCCACAGCCTCGTGCTGCGTGCCCTGGCTCCCTGCTCCTCGCTGAGCCGTGCCTTCCTCTCCGCTCCACAGCCTGGGAGAGGAGCGGGCAGTGCCCGCGCACCCTCCACCTGCCTCAGGCAGGGACAAACCCTGCCCTGGAAGTGCCACAAACACCAGCACTCTGCCAGGAGCTGCCTCTGCCCGGCCATCCTGCGTGACCTCGTCTCACCCCTTCAGCTCTTTCCCAGGCTCGTCCCCACTGTCCTTCGCTGCTTCACCTCTCACTCGCGCACCCACGCCAACAGTGCACCGTCACCAACCCTAACCACCCACCTAGCATGGCCCTGGCCTCATCCCCCCACCCTCTCCACCACGCGGAGAGCTAGACCCCCTGCCAGCAGCTCTGTCCCTGCTCACCGCCCTGCGCTGGCTCCTCGGTCGCTCTTGTCCCTGCGCCCTGCCCCATGCCTGCTCTCTCATTTCCCCAGCAAAAACCTCATTCCTCCAGCAAAAACCTCCTTCTGCTTTACTGCTCCCCCCTGCAGCAGCACCAGCAGCAGTGGCTAATCCAGCAGGGAGTCCCTTGCCTCTGCCTGACCTCAAAACGCAGCTTGCAGGGGGACGGGGACCAGGGGGTAGCACAAGCAGCTGTCAGCTCGCCGTCCGATGCGAAGCGGGGACGCTCCAGCTCAGCACACAAGCCCATGCACGCTGGAGCACAGCATGCCCAGCGCAACCCCTCGGCACGGCTCCGTCCTCGCTTCCGCACACCTCCCGGCCGTGTGCTGGAAGCTTCACGCTCCCTCCTCCGCCCCCTCTCTCTCTGGGCTGTCCCGTCCCTGCCAGGGCCAGGGGGCTTTGGCCCCAGCTCCAACGGGTCCCGGCTGCTCCGCACCACCTCCTGCCGACCCCTACACCGCGATCTCGTCCTCCAGGCTGTCGCCCAGGTCCTGCCTGGGCTGGACGTGGAGCAGGCGCGGCGGTTCCTCCTGGGACCAGGAGTCGCGCTCCTCGCTCTCGTCCGTGTTGGACTCGTACTCGGAGGCGATGCCCGACTCACGGAACTTGATGAGCTCCAGGCTGCCCAGCGCTGGCTCTGGGGCGGGCGGCCCCGAGCCTGGCAGAAAGCGGTAGCACTCCAGCTTCACCAGACAGTCGTTCCTACCTATGGGGCTGCCCAGGGAGCTGGGGAAGCCCGAGCCAGGGCCCAGTGGTGGCGGGGGGGGGGCCTCCGGCCGCGG